AAAAATCTCTTTTTTAAATTATACGATACGACAATTTTTAATGGAGTTATGAGCAATTAAAGTCAAAATAATTCTTTTATTTAATCCGCGATAACGTAAGCTCAGTAATCAAAAGTCGTAGGAATAATTAAAAAAAACGATTTTGTAAGGAAAGTATCAAGCTTTCACGATAGGTAATCGAAAATTTTCTCAAATTCGTTTTAGACACGTTACAAATCCACAAAATGAGAAGAAAATTTTTCGTCTTTTTCAGCTCGTAGTTTTTGGTATGTAAAAATTATCAAACTCATATAAACTTAAAAAATGTGATAAGCTTTTAAAAGTAGAGATTTCAAGCTTTAAAACCCTTTTTTTAAATTTGAATTTCATTCATTATTGACGAAGATATTGTATATATAACTTTTAGCTAAGAAATACGCGATGACTTTTTACTACACCTAATATATAAGTATAAAGTATGATTCTTTAACTGAAGTATGCCAGGATGATATTTAAAGAAGTTTTAAGAATGTACCATCTGATCAAATTTGACCCGGACTGGTCCATTTAAACCGCGCGCGTAAATTGAATCGGTAAAATTTTTTTTTTTCTAGATTGGTACAACCTTCTCTGACATTCGTGTGAAATTTGAGCGGGATACGTCAGTTAGTGTGTGTTTGGCAGCCATTTGTTTACGATGCAAAAAGTTTCTCTGGCGATTTTTACTATGAAAAAAAAAATGAACAACGAGTTTGCTTGAAATTTTGTGTTTCCAATGGAATTACGGCTACGAAATCATTGAAAATGTTGCAGAAGTGTTTTGGGGAGTCTACTCTATCGAGAACGCAAGTATTTGAGTGGCATAAAGCATTCAGTGAGGGTCGTGAGGTCGTAGAAAACTTGTCTCATGCGAGTCGTCCATCCACCTCTGTTAACGACGATAACATGGAAAAAGTGAAGGAAATTGTGCTTGAAAATCGTCGTGTTGGCATTAGAGAGATAGCAGAAGCTCTCAACATCTCTTATGGATCGACTCAACACATTTTGGTTAATGTTTTGGGTATGAAGCGCATCGCCGCCAGACTCGTACCGAAAGACCTGAATAAAAGTCGTCGCTCAGCCACCGTATTCGCCAGATTTGGCTCCCTGTGACTTTTTTCTGTTTCCGAAACTCAAATATCCGCTCCGGGGAACGCGCCATGAATCGATTGAGGCCATAAAAAGGAATTCGCTGAAGGAACTAAAGGTCATCCCGGCCGAGGCCTATAAGAAGTGTATGGAAAATTGGATTAATCGTTGGCATGCTTGTATTGGTTCAGAAGAAGGCTATTTTGAAGGCGATCATAAAGATTTGTATTAAAATACATAAAATTGTTGTTTTTTTTTAACCAGTCCGGGTCAAATTTGATCAGATGGTATTATTGATGTTAGAGACATTATTAAAACATTACTACTATTATCTGGACAAGAACAGAATTAATATCTTTCTTATTGTTTCAAACAATTACGTTTACCACAGACAAGATGCCTATTTAAATTTCCAATAATGTAATTCAATGCATCTATTAATTTAGACGTTCTTTGTATCAAATTGTACATATCAACTGTAGACTATTTTACTCTTGATCATCCTTAAGTTTACATTGCTAGAAAAATTGCTTAAATTATTCGCAACTTTTAGCATCCCAATACAAAGGATTGTTAAAAGTTGCGAATAATTTGAGCAGTTCTGTTTACAAATTGGATTTAAGACTTTCCAAGATTCACGCAATTTACAATTAGTGTACATCAACTCGTTGCAAATTTAAGAATAAACCACAATGCTTATTTTGGCTAGATTCAACTTAACCATGATGTTGTAGGGTTTACTTTCTTTATTTTGAAACATAAAACAACTTTTTAACATTAATTGAATTTTCAAAGACTCCACAATTATATAAATTATTAATTAAAAAGACTTCATAAAGAGTATGTATAAAAATAGGTTCTCAAATAGGTTCCTTCGTCGCTTAGGCGTGAATATCCTGCTGGCCGTTGAAGGTCGATTCTTTTAACCGATATTTACACAGGAGGAATCCTATAGTATATCATTGCTTAAGAAAATTATGTTTCGATAGGAAGGACGCAAATCTTATTGATAGCGCTATTGGTTACGCCGTTGGAGGTTCTTACGATAATTACACTCACGTAGCCATCACTTCCTGGATGAGTCTCAATAATTCGACTCGTATGCCATCTTAGAAATGGTAAATCCTTATCTTTCAATTAAAAGTAATGAACCGATCTTGACTTCGGGGTAATTAGGTTTTTATCATTTATAACGGTTTTTAAGCTGCGTGAGATACTCGCACGACCATCGCTTCCAGAAGTTCTGACGCATTTGTGATAACAGTTAGAATCTTATTAGTCGGTTCGATAGTATCTCAATAAGGTTGGGCTCTGGGAAAGAGTTTAGAGGTTCCCCGATGAGAAAATGTTCGGGAGTGAGCATCTCATAATTGTCAGGATCATTAGAAACCGGGCATAGCGAGCGTGAATTTAAAATGGCTTTGATTTGTGCGAACGCTGTAATGAGTTCTTCGAAGGTGAGTATATTGTTACCGAAAACTCTTTTGAAGTGAATGTTGGCGGACCTCACAGCCCCTTTCCAGAATCCACTCATGTACGGGGACCTTGCCGGTATGAAGTGCCACTGCACTGACTGATCTGCCAAAAAACGTTTAACGCTCTCGCGATTTCCTTGCACCATGCGGAAAAACGATTGCAGTTCATTGTTTGCGCCTGTGAAATTTGTGTCTGAGAACAAATTCACGCATCGACCACCTCTGGCCATGAATCGTTTCAACGCATTGAGAAACGCCGTGGTTAAAGCGCTGACTACTTCCAAATGCGTGGGTTTACTTAAAAAGCATACAAAGATACACAAGTAAGCCTTTCCGGTTTTGTTTCGCGACAATTTTATTTAGTTTTTAACAAACGGTCCCGCGTAATCTACTCCTGAATTAATAAATGCTCGATGGAGTTACCCGCTCTCTCGGAAGATCTTCCATTAATTGTGATTTTTCACTAGGACGGACACGGAAGCACGCTATACATTTTCGTAGTACCCGCCGAATCGTTTGACGTCCCGTTAATGGCCAGTATCTACCGCGCAAATGAGCAAGAAAGTCTTGAAGCCCCATATGCATATGTTTGAGATGCGAATGATTAGCTCGGTAAATGGATGCTTGGCAGGTAGGATGATCGGATGTTGCTTCGATTGCTCTATATCCGCGTGGCAAAGTCTACCCCCTACGCATAACAGTCCCGTTTCGTCTAGGAAAAGATTTAACGTGAGAAGCTTGCTTTTACTCGATATTCCCTGTTTGGATTAAAGGTTTTTAATCTTGACGGCGAATTCGTTTAATTGTGCGGCTCAGGAAAGTGACAATATGGCTTTATTCAACTCTTGTACTGATAAAAGCCCGATTTGTCTCTCTTCCCCCTTGACTGCATTGATTTTGAATCGCAAACAATACGCTGTGATCCTCTTGAGTCGATGAAGAGACAAGAATCTCGCAAATAAATTAGTATCTTGAGGAACGCTGTGGTAAGCTACGGTTTGTTTCTTGAGTTCAGCTATTTCCGAGAGTTCGATGGTGGACTCCATCGATCACGCCTATCGGTCCTTTGTTAGCCAAGGAGGTCCCATCACTACAGCGAGGAATTTTTTAGGTTTCGTGAAGTTGTTCCTCTAGAAATGACTGGGTTGTCCTTGGACCGAACATGCGATTATTGAACATCTGGTGCTGTGTGCCGGATCGTCGCGACTCTATTTGTAACGAATGTTTGTAACTCTGCAGGCTGATGCTAGCGTGATGGTTGAATCATTCCAATATTACGATCAAACTTAATTGATAGAGCTTGTCATACTGTCTCTACGAGTTTGACGAGTAATAAAAGTTCACATAATTTGAGTGGAGGTAAGATGATACGCTTCAGAGGTGCGACCTTTGATCTTGTGCAGAGTAATCTTGCGACAACTTTACCTGATCGATGTATACTTTGGATGAATAGGCAGCATCATATGCTGCCTCTGAGGCGTCACAAAATCCGTAGTTCTATTGTTCGTGGTTCTTCGCATATCACGTGTTTTGGAATTGAGATTGATTCCATTTCCTTTATTTCTTCCTGATATTGCATTCAGGTAGTGTATAGATTCATTGGTAGGGATTCATCCCATTCAATCTTAAGTTGCCAAAGTTGTTGAAGTATGATCTTAGTACGTATGGTCACTGGGCCCATTAGCCCCAGCGGGTCATAGATTTGAGCAATAGTTGATAATACTGTACGTTTTGTTGCGCGCTGATTTTTCTCAATTGCGCACGTCCGATACCGCAATCATCGGTAGTGTTCCAGCAAATTCCTAACATTTTTATTTCATTACTTCTTGGTAACTCTTGGACTTCGCAGGATCCGTCAAAGATTATTCGTTTGTGTTCCACTTATGGAGAAATTCTGCTGATTGCAAAATGTCGGTTATTTTACCCTTGAGCCATCGTAGTTTACTTACATTATTGCCATCAGACAACAAGTCGTCCACATAAAAGTCATTGAGTATGACCCTGCTTGCTTCAGGATGTCTGTCTTTCGATTGCGAGTTGATGTTAGCATCGAATGGTCAAGAACGATGCACTGGCCACACGTATGGGATGGTGTTGAGGCGATATTTATAGATCAAATCGCTTGCATTTATACGATCCTTTGTAGGTCTCCTTGATCTTCCTGCACAAGCACTTGTCGGTACATCTGTTTAATGTCTGCTGTGATAACGAATCGGTGTTGACGGAATCTCATTGTTACGGAAAATAGATTCTGCTGAATAGTAGGTCCAGAGCGGAATATATTGTTGAGTGATACTCCTGAAGACGTGGGACATGATGCATCAAATACGACCCTGAGCTTCGTGGTAATGCTGTCGGGTTTTAACACTGCATGATGCGGTAGATAAATACTCGTCTGAGATTCCTCCTAATTACAGATTTCGGTCATATGGTTTAATTTATTATATTATATTTTTTCATGAAGAGATTATACGTACGCTGCTGAAAAAGTTTCTGCAAACAATATAAAAAAAAACATGTAAAATTCGGTAAATGGCTTTATTGTTTTTCGCCTTTAAGATCGATACATTTTTGTATACGCTCGAACCAATTTTCGAAGCATTTTTTCCACTCTAAGGCTGTAACCTCAGAAATCAGTGTACGAAATGTTTCAACAGCTGCTTCAGGCGATTCAAATCGCTCACCACGCATCTTATTTTTAATGTTTGGGAACAAAAAGAAGTCATTAGGTGATAAATCAGGTGAATACAGACAATGAGTCATCAATTCGACATTATTACTGGATAAAAAATCAACGGTTTGACGTGCTGGCGTTGTCATGATGAAGGATGATGCGACGATTTCGGTTTGTTGTACGCAATTCATTTATGACTTCTGGCAAACAAATTGTTGTATACCAATCAGTATTTACAGTTCTTCGATCCTCTAAAGCCACGGTTGTCACATGTCCGGTATAACCGAAGAAACAAGCAACCATTTGCTTGGCAGCACTGCGTGCTGAATGAACAACTTTTGTTGGTTTCGGTTCATTTTGAAATACCCAAACAGTGGATTGTTGTTTACTTTCGGGCTCATACGAATAGATCCATGTTTCATCCCCAGTAACGATGTTGTAGACCAAATATGACCGACCTCGGTTGAATTTCTTGAGTATTTCTTTGCTCCATTTAACACGAGCCTGTTTTTGAGCTTCGGTCAAATTGTGTGGGATCCAACGACTGCAAAGTTTCGTTCAAGTGATCATGCAAAATTGTATGTATTGCTTTCATGTCAATGCCTAAGGATGCCTGAATCTCGCGGTATGTTATATGCCGGTCTCGCTCAATCATTTCACGTACAACATCAACATTAGTGACAACAACAGACGTGGATGACCTTCACGGAATTCATCACTAAGAAAGGTACGTCCACACTGGAATTCGGCAAACCAATTATAAACAGTCCTATTGGATGGTGCTTCATCCCCAAAAGCCAAATAAAGTCGATCGATGCATTGTTTCGGAATTAGATTACATTTGTAATCGTAAAAAATCATTGCCCGAAAATTTTCACGCGAAATTTCCATTTTCTTACAAAATAACTTCTTTTAAAATACTATGCAAACAAAACTAGTTGGCTTGGGTACAAACTGTCAATTGAATTATAGGTTAAAAACGTCTAATTTTACGGATATGATAGTCGCAGAACGTTGGCGCCACTGGAAGTACTAGATTGCAAAAACTTTTCCAACAATCTACGTATTGTTGCTTTAATTCCGGAAATTTTGCAAGATTTCGTTCCATGCATCGTAATCACTTGATAGCGATATCGCGAGTGTGATCTCCGAGTTGATCTACGCTGTCGCATAATCGAACTTCAAATCGTCCATCCAAATTGCGTTTATGTGTTTGAATGAATTCTGCCTCGCAGATCTTATCGTTGTCTGATAACTCCGATTGGATGGGGCTTTCTTCTACCTTCCAGAAACGTTCTAGTTGTGTTTCGATGTTGATAGTGGAGGAGATGGAACATACGGATGCGATCGAGCTCTCCGTCGATCTTTGGAGGCCTAGAGGACCCGCGATGATCCACCCGAGTCTTGTTTTCTGTGCTATTTCTGACCTTGCCTAATTTGATCTGACCGATGCATAATACAATAGTTTCCCAGAATATGGAACTTCCTAGCAGTATGTCTCTTTTCTCTGGCGTGTGGAGTGATGGGTCCGCTAGAGTGATGGTCTCTATTTGAAGGTTCTTTTTGTTGATCTCCGACAATGGAAGATTGACTGTGATTTCGGGCAATATCGAGAAAGCAAGCTTGATTCTGAAAGCGTTAAATTTGGATTGTATCGTCGCGTGAATCTCTGTGAGTGCTGTTATCTGTACGTTACCGCAGATACGCGTGGAATTCCTTCTCTGTGGAAGGCTTAAACGTTCGCAAAAATCCCTTGTCATAAAGTTGGATGGTGATCCCGGGTCGAGAACGCGCGACATTCTTGCCAGTCTACGTGATTGTCTTGAGCTCTACGTGCTACACTACCCTTGTGTTTTGTGACTCTGCGACGATTTGATGGTTGTAATTTGGTAATCACTTCCGTGATTTGCGCCCTCGCCCCTTTGGATGTGCAGTAGTGTGTTGTGTTTCTTGTGACACAATCGGCAGGTGCTAGAGCTGCACGATTCAACGTTGTGACCGCCCTTAAAATAATTGAAACATAATTTTAAGCGTTTTATTTCCTTATTTCTGGCTTGGGGAGTTAAGTTAAGAAAGCTTGGGCACTGATACAATCGATGCTTGCCTTGATTAAACATTTGTCTGGTTTGGCCTCGGCGACCGCCGCGGCGATTGATTTTTTTGTTTGCGTTGGTTGCTTTATTGCTACTGTCATTGCTCGATGATTTCGCGCTTTTCGTTTTATCAAATTGTAATATCTCTAGCATAACCTATCTGTTGTGAAGTCAAGGAACTGCCTATATATCGCCACTTCTTTCGCGGACGTCTTGGTCTCCCATTCGCGTTTTGTAGCGTTGTCGAATTTTACGGTTATTAGATAAACAAGGATGGTGCCCCATTGTTTGGTGGGTTCGCCAAACTTTTTTAGAGCGCGAACGTGCTTTTCGATGTGATCTATAATAATAATTGACGCAACCCTGCAGGTGATTGCCCTTTGCATTACGGGAAGTTCTACAAGCGGTTGCACGTGGTGATGAATCAAAACACGTTTATTCTCGAAACGATTTTCGAGGAGGTTCCACGCGACATCATAATTATCGGCGGACATTTTCATCGATTCCAGAATTTCTGCGGCTACTCCCTTTAAAGCTAACTTTAAGTAATATAGCTTTTTTATGTCTGATAGATTATTATTTTCATCGATAACCGCCTTAAAGGTATCGCAAAAAATCGGCCACTAATCATATGATCCGTTGAAAGTGGGAAGATTGATAGGCGGTAACTTGATCCGGTCTACTGCATTGATCGCGTTACCGAGGCCACGATTATCAGCATCACGGATTTCTTGCGCGCCGATTCGCGGTTTTCCATGTCGTGTGATAAGCGCTTTAGCCGCCGCGGACTTCATGTATTCTAACTCAAATGTTTCGCGTTCGCCATCGTTTTCAAATTCTGCATCTAGTTCCTTGAGGGCGTCTTGTGTTTCGCTGAATTCATTCCACGCGCGTTGTATCGCTGTTAACTTAACCTCTACCTCTTCTATCTGATGGTTTTGTTTGTCGACTACTCTAATCCAATTACCCGTGCGCGTCATTTGCGCCTTGATTCTATCGCGTGTTTTCACGAGCTTTGCTGTGTCCGCCATTGTGTTTGTATAATCGGGATCGAGATTCGCGATTACGATGTCGTTAGATTATTGCAACTTAGCTTGAGAATTGAAACTCAGAGTCTTTGGACGGACTCGCTGACTCGATGAATGCGTTGTTTCTTCGATCTCCTTCTGAACGTCGTTTGTCTGGGTGCCGAGCGATTTCGGTGCTTTGTCTAGGTTCCGGACGGTTTCGCTACTTTGTAGCCGATTGCTGTCCGTCTGTGTCCGGATTTCACTGTGTTGCGAATGATCCGACTCGAAGGACCATTTGGTGCGGGATGAAAGAAATCAGTATAATGTTTTCCCTTTTCTCGCTTTATTTTCTCTTCTTCTACAATTGCTCGTAGTCACTATTCTGTCTCGTGGCGAGCTCAAGTTGTCGCCATTACACACACTACTAAAAAAACTCCTCGCGGCAACATGTCTCACTCATTCGCTGCGCTCGCGCGAGTGTAGCGCCGCTCGGTAATTATTTTTGAGCGCGTATCTCAAATAGGTTCCTTCGTTGCTTAGGCGCGAACAATCATTACTAATAAATGATTGTTTTTCGCAATTTTTTGAAGCTACTTTAGAACGTAAATTATTTCTAATTTCGGATACAATTTGTTTTCGTTGCTTTATGCACAAGTTTTGCAAACGTTTTCGCGAAATGGAACGTTTCAAAGCTAATGATTCCATATTATATAATTACATATTTTTAATAATAACAATTAAAATTGAAAAATGTATTTTTAACACTTTCTTTTCACATATTCTTTCGTCTTCACATACCTTTTCGTCCTTCTCTACTATTTCTTGTTATATTTTCTTCTGCACTATGAGATCCGTAAGAATATTTTCCAATCGCCGATAAATGATAGCTCACTGGAGAAAATAAGAATTAGATAAGAATTATTATAAAAAAAAGTTGTATTACTTTTATAACTAATCCAATTGAATAGATCGTATCAATAAAATATAATTTATATAAAGAATAAGCTAATTCTT